ACACACTACACACACACACACACACACACACACACACACACACACACACACACACACACACACACACACACACACACACACACACACACACACACACACACACACACACACACACATACACAAACAGATAGAAAGAGAGAGAGCTGGAGGAAGAGAGCATAATATTGACAGAGGGTAAGAGAGAACGAGACGAAGAGAGAGCGACAGAGTATATACGCAGTGTGTGCAATAATAGATACACTATAGATATTGGCGTGTTCGCTAGTGTGGGCATGATTGTTACCGCCCGTCCACGCCGCGTTAATACGACACCTCAGCCCTCACAATGCCACAGCAATGACAGGCAAAAACACGACTGCACGCTCCCTCGCAAAACCTCAACGCGCTCTGCAAAAGCCGTCCGGTCAATATTGACCCTCCGTTGATTATGGCAAGGTATTGTGCTGTCCGCTGTCGGCAGCTCGGCTATGGTGCTCTTCTCAAAAAGCAGGCACATCCCTTTGCGTGGAGACACCCCCGTACGGGGGAGAAAAAGCTGACAATTGCGGTTTATACAGTATAGCGATGGGGTTTTTCCCCGTATTAAGATGAACAGAACCGCCGAGGAATTTCCTTGAAAAATCGGGTCGACGAACTGTACATGTATGGGATGTATCCAGGAAAAATACGCGGTGTATGTGGGGCATGGTGAGGTGGGGGTCAGGCGAGAGAGAGAGAGAGAGAGAGNACAAAGAATAATAAAAATAGGAGGAGCAACACAGGATTAATAGAATTACACGGAGAAAAGAGAGGATGAGAAGGATTAATAGCAGAAACATGTAATGTATGAAAAAAATAGGGCGAGCAGAGACATGTATACGAGTGATGTAGATATTTAAATACCTGATCCTCATGAGATGGTTGGCATACTCTTCGCCTGTCGTCCAAGATTCTACGTGACCATTCAGTCTATGTTCTATAAACATGAATGGTAACAGTAATTAGATAGATAATAGTATTTGATAGATAATCTCAATAAATTTAAACGGATTATTTAATGTATGAGTAGTGACCGGCATCCTCTGCGCTCAGCGTGCACCAATTCACCGTGAACCGCTGGAGTGTCATAGTTCGGAGTCTGTTGGACGCTGGGACATAGCGGTAGCATGCCATTGACGCGGACATCCGCGTATAGCGGCCATGTTGGAGCGGAACATCTTGGTAAGCCGGCCCATGTTGAGCGGACATCGCGCTTAAGCGGCCATGCTGGGCTCGGACATTGCGGCTAAAGCGGCCATGTTGGAGCGGACATCGTGGTAAGGGCCATGATTGGACGGACATCGGGTAAGCGGCGATGTTGGACTCGGACATCGCAGGGTAACGCCATGTCTCACGGGACATCCCGTAACGACCATGTTCGGACGGGGATTCGGTAACTCGGCCATGTTGAGAAGCGCGAACATCGCGGGTACAGGCGGCCATGTTGAGCGCGACATAGGATAGGCAGCCATTTGGAGGGGACATCGCGCGTAAGCGGCCCAGTGTTGAGCGACAGTCGCGTCTAAGCGGCCATGTGGACACGGAATAGCGGTAGCGGCTCATGTTGGAGCGGACCATCGCGGTCACGGCCAATTTGGAGCGGACATCGCGCGTAAGCGCACATGTTGTGACGACATCGCGGTAAGCGACCGATGTGGGAGCGGACATCGCGGTAAGCGACCATTATGGAAGCGGACATCGCAGGTCAAGCAGCGATGTGGATCGGACATCGCGGTAAGCACCATTTGGAGCTGGACATCGCGGTAAGCGGCCATGTTGGAGCGACATCGCGGTAAGCCGGCCATGTGAGAGGCGGACATCGCAAGTTGACTCACCGTCCGGAGGAAAAACGGACTCACGCCATGCGCGAGCGATCCTGATCGTGCTACCATTCGAGTCAGGCTTCAGGCGGAGATAGGTGCCGGCCAGCTGCAGCTCTACATACTGACTCATGTAGCAGACTATGTCAAATGAAAAACAGAAAGAGAAATAAAATTAGATACCAATCGATAGAGCAAAGTAGATACAAGAACATAAACACAATGTAACAACACAGCGCTCCGTCCGTGATCCGTAAGTTATATGCAAATGGTCGTAGCCTCATAATTTATCATGTATCGTATCGCACCAATATAGGCTATTTCCTCAAACATCAATATCAACTCTAAATTCATTTCTTCCATACTACAATTCATATTTAATTCAATAAGCTATTATCAATTTTTCGGCGTTGTCAACACTATTTTCGATTCATTACATAATCTATCTGAAACTCATCTATCACGTTTCAAGCAATATAAATAAATATCTAGTTGACAAAATTTTAAATCTTATCGGCATTATAATGCAAGTCCTATGAATACATACAAAATATAATTTCAACTTAACAAAATACCTACTCTTCTGTCTATAATTTACTAGCTACTAGATATTCGTATTAATTATATATGAACAGTTATAAACGTTCTATTTAGTACAGCAAAACAAGAAACAAAAAACTAGATTTTATTTGGCTGTAGGCACAAACTATAGACAGTCTAGTAGAGCGAGAGAGACAGAGAAAGAGTGAGAGGAGAGAGAGGAGAAAGAGAGAGAGAGAGAGAGAGAGAGAGAAGAAGAGAGAGGAGAGAGAGAGAGAGAGAGAGAGAGAGAGAGAGAAAGAGTGTGAGAGAGAGAGAGAGAGAGAGAGAGAGAATGAGAGCGAAAACGAGAAATAAAGAGATGTAAGAAACCTTAACCACCCGAAACGAGCAGTACATTACTTGAGCAAGTATTTGTAGAGCGTCGTGGAGGGCGGGAAGCAACAAAGGCAGCTCGCCATCAGATACCAGCCTCTCTCGTTGTTTCTCTCGTGCTCGTTGCGCCACGTCTGATTGCAGATCTGGAAAGTAAAGGTCGCACACGCGATGCGAAAACCCATGTTATCGTTCATGAAAAATTAACGCGATCATTGTCACGAGATGGGGGTGGGATGGGGTGGGGGTTGTAGGGGAGCCTTAAACCAAGTGCATGTTGAGCCCCGGACACTATCTGACAGTGGAGTAGAGGGTGGGGGAAGGGGGGGGGGGCTGTGTAACCAGCTGAATTATTCAACGAACAATCGCTATTACGTAGTTCGCAGCGCTTTCTGTTAAGATGGAACGTCTGTCATTCACATTCGATGTCCATTTATTACCACCAATTAAGAGCGAGCGTGTATCACTGATCATCATAAGAGAGGTGTGGATACGTATGATATCCCCTCCCCCCTGTATGTAATATTTCACACAGCCGCAACACAACCATGTCGTTAAAACAACCATCTTGACTTTGTTTTGGGTACTGTTTAGTTCTAAAGCTTCCTGATTTGGTATACGTGAAAGCTCATCGTATGTCGGATAATGATTAGGTAGTTGTACTCACATTCGACGAACATTATTATATCGAATACAGCTAATTAATTAAAAGCAGGTTAAGCTGCCATACCATGTTACGGTCCACCTGATTATTGTTACATGTTGTGACGTGATTACATGTCCTGATATCGTTACTTGTTATAAAATCATTACATGTCGTAATACCATTGCATGTTGTGATCATCATTACATGTTCTCATTATCATTAAGATATGATATCACTGCATGCTGTGATATCGTTATGTTCATGATTATGATTACAGGTGTGTGTGTGTTAGAGACATTGAGAGATATAGAGAGATATAGCAGAGACATTGAGAGATATAGAGAGATATAGCAGAGACATTGACGTGCGAAACAGTGGTCACCATTAACGAGTTATTGACTAGTTCGTTATGGATGAGTTATCTGTGAAGAAGAGGCCTGGACGGCCTCTACGGGGCACGGCTCCAATGTACTGCCCAATATTGTTTCAATATGTGGATTATTGGATGCCATTTAACGAGTTATTGACTAGTTAGTTATTGTTGAGTTATCTGTGAAGAAGAGGCCTGGACGGCCCTACGGGGCACCGCTCCGCTGTGCTGCCCAATATTGTTTCAATATGTGGATTATTGGATGCCATTTAACGAGGTATTAATAGACAATCAATTGGCTTATCATCGATTATTGATTAGTTTAATCTGCGATGATTGATTAATAGTCAATGAGTACTTAATCGCTGGTGTTTGATTAGTTTAATGATCGACAATTGGTAAATTGTTAAAGAATGGATTACAGTAGTTCGTAATCAATTATTAATTAATTATTAGTAAGTGATTACGCTCAATATCGGTAATTGGTTAATTAGTATTGTAGTTTTTAGTATGTGAGAGTAAATGATTAATTCATTATTGAGTTATTAATTAAATTATTATAATCGATAACCATCGGTGATTGATCGGTAGTATCAACGAGTGTGATTAGTAATTGGTGCAGGAGTATCGATCACAGTCTCAACGCATGATTAATAGTCAGTTTGATTCATCATTGTTGATTAATTTGATTCATTAAAAGCATCATGGTTAATGTTACACAAGCATTACCATTGACGTCAGCGCCCAACCTAACAATACTAATGATAGTTCAGTGTCTCACCGCGAGAGGTCGCTCATCACGCGTGACGTCACGCCCACCTACCTGCTGCGTGAGTCTCGTCTGCTCGTAGTGCTTCTCGTCGGTCGTCTGACCTTTGCTGACCTTCGTGTCGGCCATGTAGCGGGCATTTAACTTGCTGTTCGCGAGCTGTCCGCCGAAGTAGCGCTCGTTCAAGCGAGTGTCCGCGAGTCCGTAGTCCAACTTGCCTGACCGCTGGTCGGAATCTACGCGAACGTGACAACAATTTATCATGTTATCATGGAATCAAAGGATGTTATCAGTGCGCGCATGAACCGTGAGCATGACATGATAATCGTTATTAACTTGAAGGTTGACTGAAAGGCGTCGAAAAATCGACAAGCAGGGTTCAGAACGAGCAGAGTTGACTGCGCTGCTCTGTTGTTACTGTGACGTCACGTTGTCATTGGAGATGTGCCAATGTTGTGTTGGAATGCCAACCGCCATCCTTAATTAACGGAGTCCATGAATTATGGACATCTTAAAATAGAGGCGATATTTAAAGGCCATGGCTCTGATTGGCTCTAACGTAACGTGCTCGCAACCACACTCAAATGCAAAGACACACACTCACTCACTTCAATAATCTCTGTCCGTTTCTTTCTCTCGTTGACTCTCTGTTTCTGCCCTTTCTCCCGCTCTCCCCTTCTCTCTCTCTCCACCTGTCTCTTACCCGCTCTCTCTTCTTTTTCTTTTCCTCTATATCTCTCTCTTACAAAATTATATTCATGCACGCACTTACATGCGCACGCACGGCACGCACCGCGCCACCCACGCACGCAGCGCCACCTGTTGCTTTGCTGCTAATAACAGACGATAATATTTTGGGATAGATGTTCGCCACGCACCCTGTTGGTCTCTGCGCGATGACGTCACGCGGCTGCGATAGCTGCTGTACTGCCCGCGCCGTCCGTGCTGCTGCTGCGACGTGGTGCCAGTCTCAATGTCCGGCTCCAGATCGTCGACGTCGATGTCGATGATGTTGACGATAGTCGGATCGTGAGGTCTGTGAAAGTAATTAATATGTGACGATGACGATGACGATGGTGTTGACGATAGTCGGGTCGTGAGGTCTGTGAAAGTAATTTAATATGTGACGATGACGATGATGTTGACGATAGTCGGATCGTGAGGTCTGTGAAAGTAATTAATATGTGACGATGACGCGGGCTTGGACGATAAGTCGGGTCGTGAGGTCTGTGGAAAGTAAATTAATTATGTGACGATGACGATGATGTTGACGATAGCTTTTTTCCGACTAGATGCAAAGTTATGTAAAATAAAACAAATAAAATTTAATTAATTAAAAAAAAAACACGAATAACACCGCGCACCAACTCCTCAAATAAACGTAAAAAAAAGAAACGCGCCACCTACGAAACGTGCAAAATTGCAATCAGCGCCATGTTGCACCGGACGCGTGACGTCACGCACTCACGTGTTCATCTTCGCCTTGGCTCGCGCCGTCTGCACAGAGGCGTCGTGAGAGACGAGGAAGTAGCTCTTGGAGACGGGGAACGACGGCGCGATCTCCATCTCACTGACGAGGTCAAGGACGTAGTCGAGTCCGCCCAGCTCGTAGCGGTCCCCATCATCGTGTAGCGACACCGTCCAGCCGCTAGCGTTGTCACCGTCGACGCCCCTGCGTGACAACGACCGCATTGTGACGCGAGTGATGGCGTGACGATTGGTCGCCGACGATGATGGCTGACGATTGTGACGCGGTGATGGTGACCAATTGGTTGACGCGATGATGGTGACATAGTTGCGACATAAAGTGAGTTGGTGGTGGGGGGCGGTTGGATGTTGATAGAGGAAGGGATAGGTAAAGACGTCGCCTTATAGAGCGAGCTAGCGAGAGAGACACGCAAGCTCATACACAACACATACAGACAGACACAGTAAAGTCTGCTTTTTTAGTACAGTAATATATACTGCGGTTTTGGAACGCCAATATAGACAGCGATTTAGTATCAAATCATAGTGTACTACAAACGCACACACACACATACACACACACATACACAACACACACACACACACACACACACCACACAACCACACACCCCACCACACACACACACACAGACAGACACACACAGACAGACACACCACACACACACACAGCACACAAAACACACACACGACACACAGACACACACAGAAGACACACACACACAACAGACACACACACACACACACACACACACACACACACACACACACTACACAACAGATCAGAGAGAGAGAGAGAGAGAGGCTGGAGGAAGAGAGCTTAATATTGACAGAGCTAGGAAAGAGAGAACGCAGAGAAGAGAGAGCGCAGAGTATATACGCAGTGTGTGCAATCCATAGCATACTACTATTAGATATTGGCGTGTTCGCTAGTGTGGGCATGATTGTTACCGCCGTTCCAGCCGTGTAATACGACACCTCACCCTTTCACAATGCCACAGCAATGACAGGCAAACAGATTGCACGCTCAGCCCCTCGCAAAAACCTCAACGCGCTCTCGCAACAGCCGTCCGGTCAATATTCGACCCTCCGTTGATTCATGCAAGGTATTGAGTGTTGTCCACTGTCGGCAGCTCGGCTGTGGCTGCTCTTTACCCAAAAGCAGGCACATCGCCTTTGCGTGGCAGACCACGCCCGTACGGCGGGAGAAACAGCTGACGATTGCGGTTTATACAGTATGCAGTGGGGTTTTTCCCCGTATAAGATTGAACAGAACGCCGTAGGAATTTCCTTGAAAAATCGGGTCGACCGAACTGTCATGCTATGGGATGTATCCAGGCGAGGCGCAGAGAGAAGAGAGAGAGACAGAGAGAAGCGAAAGAGAAAAGGAGAGGCCGAGAGAGGGAGAGCGAAGAGCGCCGCGAGAGTGAGAGCGAGAAGGGAAAGCGCAGAGAGACAGAGAGAAAGGGAGAGAGAGAGAAAGAGCAGAGAGAGAGAGCGAGAGAGAGAGAGAGAGAAACGAGAAGGGAGAGCGGAGCGAGAAGAGAGAGAGAGAGAGAGGAGAGAAAGGGAGAGCCGATCGGAGAGAGAGACGAGAGAGAGAGAGAGAAGAGAGAAAGAAAGCGAGAGAAGAGAGAGAAGAGAGGAGGGGAGAAGAGAGAGAGAGACGAGAGAGAGAGAGACGAGAGAAAGAGCGAGGAAAGAGGAAAAGAGCATGTCGCGTGGCAATAATGCAACTAGACTGCGACCAAGCTCAATCAACTAACTGATGTGGTACTTACGATAATAATAGGAGTATAAACATGTCAAATTAGACAAAATCGTATCAAATCCATATAAAAATCGAATAAAACAGACACATAAGAATATATCCATAGGCAGGAGGCAACAACAGAATCAATAGAATTAAACGGAGAAAAGCAGGATGAGAAGGATTAATAAGGCAGAAACATGTATGTCTAAGGAAAAATAGGGCGAAACAGAGACATGTTAGCGAGTGATGTAGATATTTAAATACCTGATCCTCATTGAGATGGTTTGGCATACCTGCTTCGCCATGTCGTGCCAAGATTTTTCCCCCTACGTGACCATTCAGTCTATGTTCTATAAAACATGAATGGTAAAGTACATTAGATAGTATAATAGTATTTGATAGATAATCTCAATAGAATTAACCGATTATTTAATGCTATGAGTAGTTTGACGGCTCATCGCCTCACGTGCACCATCCCTCCGCTCGACCGCTTGGAGTGTCATAGTTCGAGTCCTGTGGAGTGGACATCAGCGGGTAAGGCGGCCATGTTGGAGGCGGACATCGCGTAAGGCGGCCAATGTTTGAGCGGACATCGTGTAAGCGGCATGTTCGGAGGCGGACCATCGCGCTAAGGGCGGCCATGTTGGAGGGCGGACATTCGCGGTAAGCGCCATGTTGGAGTCGGACATCCGTGGGTAAGTGCCCTGTTGGAGCGGACATCCGCGGTAAGCGGGCGATGTTGGATGCGGACATCGCGGTAAGCGGCCATGTTGGAGCGCGACATCGCGGTAAGCGACCATGTTGGGAGGCGGAGCAATCGCGGTAAGCGGTCCATGTTTGGAGCGGACATCGCGGTAAGCGCCATGTTGGAGCGGACATAGCGTAGGCGGGCCATGTTGGAGCGGATCATCGGGGTAAGCGCATGTTGGTAGCGGACATCGCGGTAGCGGCCATGATTGGCGGGCGGACATAGCGGTAGCGGCCATGTTGGAGGGCGGACATCGCGTCAGCGGCGCATGTTGGAGCGGACATCGGCGGTAAGCGACCATGTTGGAGCGGAACATCCGCGGTAAGCGACCATCGTGGAGCGGACTATCGCAGGGTAAGCGACCATGTTGGAGCGGACATCCGCGGTAAGGCGGCCCATGTTGGAGCGGACATTCGCGGTAAGCGGACCATGGTTGGAGCGACATCCGGGCGGTAAGCCCGGCATGTTGGAGGCGGAACATCGCGGTAAGCGCCATCGTTGGCAGGACATCGCAGTTTGACTCACGCGTCCGAGAAAACGGCCCTCACAGGCCATGCGCGCCGGATTCTGTCGTCTTCCATTCGAAGGCAGGCTCCGGCGCGGTAGGTGCGTGCCAGCTGCGCCTCTACATACTGACTCTGTAGGGGGCAGCTTGTTGCTGACAGAAAGGCTTGTTAGCCATCGTACGGCGTGGTCAGACACATAGCCTGTAACACACCAGCGTCCGTGACCGTAGCG